GATAATGGTGCATTTCATGATAGTCGTTTCTTGCTCCTGGATCTCTTCTGTCGATATAATCTAATTGCATGATATCATTTTTTGCCCGTTATTTAAATATACATAATTATGTTAAAAAAATATCCTCATTGTGAAGAGGTTCTAAATAAAAATAGATTAAAATTTAGTTATATAATAGTATAAATATAGTTACATATTAAGTATTTTTAACAAATAATAACTTGCTTATTATGTGTATTTTTATTCCTAATATTCGGGAATATCCAATAATTTGTAAAAAAAGCAAAATATTTTCAAACAAAAGTTATATAAGTTATCAAAAATCCTATATATTTTAGAAAAAAACTATTGATTTTACTAAAAATGTTGTATAAATTAGAAAAATGCCATATAATTTATAACAAATATAATCACTTTCATCAAATGCTATATAATTTATAAAAAACACAGTCTATTTCATTAAAAGTAATATAATTCATTAAATACAATATAAACCATAAAAAATACTGTCGAAAATATAAAAACATAATCGATTTATTAAAAAATATTATCGATTTGAAACCAATGAGCACTGTATTATAATTAAATGATGTTAGTTCAACTAAACTGTTTTTCAAAACACTGTACTGAGATGCCCGCTTTTTTAGACAAATAATTTCTAAATACAGATAGCGGAAAAACCGGGGACCAGACTAATTTTAGCTATTGAATATTAAGCGGATTATATACAATAAAACGAACAAAGATATAAATAAATGTGTAATTTTCTTATTATTTGGTCTTAAAAATGGTTATTTTTCGGGATGAAAAAAATGAATGTGTTGTATAAAGTTAAATGAAAAACAGCTTAATGTAAGTTTTAATCGTAAGTTTATTATTATTAATTATTATTTAATTATAAAATATTATTCTTTTGTTCACCCTTGTTTAATTTCAACACAACTCAATTAAACCTACAATTCAATTTTTCAAAGAAGTCATTGTAGTCTTCTCTATTCACTAGGTTGATTACATGAGTCACTTTTTGTTTAGCATTAAAAGTGACTCACACAATAAATGAAAATAAAGTAAAGAATAAATAAATTGTTGGAATGTTAGGTATTCAACAAATGATTGATGATTATTAAACGTATTCAACAACAAGAGATAAATCAATACAAAGAACAAACTTTACTTTGGCTCGGCTGATAATTAACAAATGAGACAACTCTGAATGATTAATTAAGAGTTTCATATTTTATAATTTTTTTATTTTATTTAAAAAACGCTGTGTTTATTAATACTTGGTCCCTGGTTTTTGAAAAAAAAGCAACCAACATATCCTCCAAAACCCCGATTATTTGTTTATTTTTCTTTGACAAGAAAACTTTATACCAAAAATAAAACGGCTTAATTTAGATTATGAAACCCTCAATTTAATTTAAATTTTAAGACAATCAAATTCGAGATTCGTGGGTTCAACTCCCATCAGTTGCGTTTTATTTATATTATTTTAATAAAAATAAGAATTCACAAGATATATTTAAAAAATATTTACACAGATTATATACTAAAATCAAAATAACATAAAAATGATAAAATGATTAATTACTATTATCTAGTAATGAAATCATATATTATTTAATAGTTACTAAATTTTTACAAAAATTTAAATATACTAATAATATAGATGCAACAAAATAAATGTATTAATTAAATTTAGTTAATACATTAAAATATAAACTGTATTTCAAAACTCTGTACCGTTTCCAAAATTTATATAAACCCTTTGTCCCAATTTCCCATTATTTACTGTTTTTTATTTGTTTTATTTTTTATTTTCCTTTTTGTTAAAACAACAACGGTACACAGTTTTAAACCCTTAAAAATCAATACAGTTTCAATTATTGAACAAAAAATCGGGAAATCACCCAAATATTGGGTAAATCTTTCCCGATTTTCCAGGTTCGTTATTTGGTCAGTGATCCATTTTGTGACTAAACGTCAGTAAAATTCCATCTTTCAAATAAACATAAGATAAACGACAATATAACAATAAACAAACGATGTGAAGAAGGACATTATTGCATCAAATAATACAACACTTTTACTAACAATCAGTTTTTATTTATTTTAACAATCAAAAAATGTCATCGATAACATAACACTACAAACATTTAAAAGAACAAGGCCATTCATCGTAACAATCTAAAATGAAATAAACAGTTAAAAATAAAAAATAAAACTTTTCAATTGCAAAGTCTGAAAAGTTTTTATAAATGCTGGTTTTACTTGTTTATACTTTTCATTTTTATCTGAAACACAACTTGGTGATTATTTAAAAACTAACATTGAATTATAAAGTCGTTTTTTCATTTTTGGCAAAATTTGTGTTATGGTAATCAAAATTTAAATCCCAAGTTTGTTTTTTATATTTTTCAAGTAAATTTTTGGTGCAAGATTTATTTGTCAAGTAAAATTTAAAAAATTCGGGTTTGTTATTTTGTTTTTTTGAGTAAATATTTTGAACAAAAAATGAGGATTAAGAAAAGAAAAAATAATTTAGGAATAATAAGTTTAATAAATTGGGATGTCCCAATACAGAGTTTTGAAAAATAGTTTATTTCTATTTAATAATATATTTTTGTATTAATACATTTATATCTGAATATACATAACATCATAACACAATATAACTAACAATATCATGTTTATTACATTTTATATTTATTACGAATTTTTAGGTTCAATTTATACCATGTATTAAATGTATGAATATAACAATATCTAAATATATAGATA